CCCTCAGCCTCTCCTCATAAGTCATATGCTCCAGCCCCCTAATCATTTTTGTTGCCCTCCGCTGGACTCTTTCCAATTTTTCCACATCCTCCTTGTAGTGTGGGGCCCAAAACTGAACACAATAGTCCAGATGAGGCCTCACCAATGTCGACTAGAGGGGAATGATCACGTCCCTCGATCTGCTGGCAGTGCCCCTACTTATACAGCCCAAAATGCCGTTAGCTTTCTTGGCAACAAGGGCACACTGTCGACTCATATCCAGCTTCTCGTCCACTGTAACCCCTAGGTCCTTTTCTGCAGAACTGCTTCCTACCCATTCGGTCCCTAGTCTGTAACAGTGCATGGGATTCTTCCGTCCTAAGTGCAGGACTCTGCACTTGTCCTTGTTGAACCTCATCAGGTTTCTTTTGGCCCAATCCTCTAGAGGATAACTAAGTCATCTGACCTGAGGAGAAAAACCAGAGTTGGGATACAATATTTTTGAAGCTTTGTCCCTTATTGTTTGTCATTACTTTAGCATTCCCCAAGTGTCTGAAACAAACTTGCTAATCAGAGTTGGGAATGCAAGAGAACATCAAACCATAGGCAGAAGATTTGGGGAAATCCTTTAAAAACTAATCTAAGCCACTTCCTCCACTTACAGCAGAAAGAAATCCATCCTTCCAAACTATTCTACAAGGTGAACTGTGTGTCTTGGTATAATACAATATGTCACACAGGAAGTAACTAAAAAAAATTTCTGAGTTAATAGTATTTCACAGATGAAGATATGAATTTATATAATCTGTCCAAGAAACTTTCTGAGGAAATTCAATTTAATTTATATTGCAGGAAAACCTTCTGATGTAAATGAATGAATAAGCTTTTTGTTAGTTTGCTGCTGGTTGACGAGTCTTTTAAATATGTATTCTTGATATAAGAACTAGGGCCTGATTCTATTCCCAGGGAAGTAAATAGTTTTTTTTCATGGACTTCAGTGGGAGGCAGAATAGTCCTTAAAGATGTTGATATGTTCAGTGTTTCTTCCAAAAATATTGTATTGTCTCAGTCAATTGTGTACGCTAAGGTTAATCAGAACACTTGGGCTTATCTCTGATAGAAGTTTGAAAAGATTCTTGGTATCTGAGTGTTTTTGTAGCATCCGTCACTATATTATTGAAGTATGTACAAGGTAAATTAAATGTGTGGGGTGAAGTTGCTGTTGGACTTCAAGTAGTTTCTAGACCTTTCTAAATTGGTTAAGTCTTTCCAGTAGAATAATCACCCAGCCTTAAATATGACCGGAAAAAAAAAAACCCTCCAAAAAACTACTGTTCTGTTTACAAAGTGAGGAGCCAACAGTGTAGTTAATGTAGGTTGTAGTGGTTGATGCTCAGCTGCTCTTCAGCTAGCCAGTAGAGGGAGCCCATTAACCAACTCAGACCATTAACCAACTGAGTCTAATGTGACATCATCAGTTATGATGATAAGGAAAGAAAGAACTGATCAAAGTGTACAAACAACCAAATTAATTTTAGTCCCAATTGCAAATGCCAGAAGAAAAAAAGAAATTGGTGGGAGCATATTTGCAAAAGTGGGCAGGTGAGTTCAATAAAACTGCCCGAAAATAAGCATTTTAAGGTGTATTTTTAAAAATTAATGCCAAGTTTAAACATGCTCCTAGTTGTACTTTCCAAATATCATTTTAGTAGTGGTGAATCTATGATGCAGAACTACTTTCAAATTTTTTATTTTGCCCTCCAAAAGATTCTACCGGTACAAGATGCTCTTTTACTGCTTGTCGTACATATTTAACCACATGAAATCTAATACTACACATGACAGGTAGTTGTTCCATTTAACCTCTATATCAAGCTCATGTCATTAATCAGCCCTTTGCTGCAGTATGTTTAAAAGGCAGGCATGCTTCTTTGCAATCTTCCGTTTTCCCATATACAGAATAATATTGGCCCTCAAAGCACTTTACAAAGAAGGTCACCATCATTATCTCCATTTTACAGAGCGGGAAAGTTATGCACAGATGTAACCTGCCCAAGGTCACCCAGCAGGCCAGTAGCAGAGCTGAGAATAGACCCTGGATCTCCTAAGCCAGGGGTTCTCAAACTGTGGGTCAGGACCCCAAAGTGAGTCATGACCCTGTTTTAATGGGGTTGCCAGAGCTGGTGTTAGACTTGATGGGGCTGAAGCCTGAGCCCCACCATCCAGGGTTGAAGCTGAAGCCCCAGGGCTAAAGCTTTGGGTGGCGGAGCTCAGGCTTCGGGTTTAGCCCTGGGCTGCGGAGCTCAGCTTACAGGCCCCTTGCCTGGGGCTGAAGCCCTTGGGCTTGGGCTTTGGCTCCCTGCCTGGGGTGGCGGGGCTCAGGCTTCATTCCCCACCTCCTGAGGTCGTGTAGTAATTTTAGTTGTCAGAAGGGGGTCGCGGTGCAACGAAGTTTGAAAACCGCTGTCCTAAGTTCAAGTACAGTGCGCTATCCTCTAGGCTGCACTGTCTCTGATGTGGAGCCTTAAGTTGTGTTCACTTTTGGGGTCTGCACAGAATACTCTCATTTTAGATGGAATGTCTGAGGGTTTGTGGGGGGGGAGCGTTTTGAGGGGGGTTGTGGTTCTAAAATCTGTAACGCTGTATGTATTTGTGGATGGAGAAACTATTGCTCAGACCTCTTTCGTTTTCTTTCCTCTTCCAATGTGTCAACAGGAATATGGAGGCGCCATCTTCCTTCTTATTAGCATCACTGCTTGTACGAAACTGTAGTATACATCCCCCACAAGCTACCAGCTCAGTCCATTCCCAGAATCTGTTACGGTTATACCTAAAAAAAAGCAACCAACTTGCTGCCTTTCTCCTTTGGACCTTTGCTGAGTTGCCTGTTTTGTTTGGGCTGATGGCGGGATGTGTGTCTGATGCTGACCATGTCTAATGAAGAACGTTAAAAAATAGTGAGCTGTTGCATCCCTAGAGTGAAGAATATGATAACAGAAGGAAACTTCTTCGTAAATCCATTTTCACAGTTAGGGTGCCCAGATAGCAACTGTGAAAAAACGGGATGGGGGTGGGGGGTAATAGGTGCCTTTATAAGAAAAAGTCCCAAAAAACGGAACTGTCCCTTTAAAAATAGTACATCTGGTCACCGTATTCACAGTTGAGGCTCTGCCGCTTTGGCAGGCCAGTTACGCTATACCTTTGCAACGGTGGTGACTTGCTGGCTTGGATGTTATTTACAAACAATGAGAAATTGCTTTTTTCTGGCCTTTTTATGCCATTTATATAGTTTCCATCCGTATGTCTGCTCCTCCCCCTACCTCTGCTTTGTAATTTTTGAGTGTTAATATTGCTTTGTCTCCGTAGCAAGCTTCCTATCACCCAGACGTGAGTGAAGATGTTCGAGCGAGAGCACTGCGATTTGGAACAGAATGTACCCTGGGATACTTGGATCTCCTAGAACATGTCCTCCTGGTAAGAAGGAGCCTATAGGCATGTATTGAAGCTTTGCCAAGAACAAATAATCCCACTGAGCCCTTTTCATAATCATTGCCAAGGTTAACTTTTTATTAGCTTGCTGCAAGTTCCTGAACAAATGGTTAAAATAGCTCACCACTTTCTAAAAAAAGAGAGAAGGGAAGCTGGAAGTGTTTGCATAGAGTTCTCTTCTGGAGCTTACTTTATCATGAGTCAGTGAAGGCATCACAGCATCTAAAAATGGGCCCCTTTAAAATCAAACATTGGTATTCTCCAGTGGGTCTCTCTCTTAACCTGATGTAGTAGAACACACACCAATCACCAGTGATGAGCTGCCAAAATCGTAACAACCGGTTCCCTCTTCACCCCACGAGGGGTCATGGCCCACCCCCCGGGACTCCTGCTCCATCCAACCCCCCGTGTTCCTTGACGCTGGGCAGGCGGGGACGTGGCCGAAGACCAGCCAGGGCGCATGGCCCTCCTCGCTCCCCCCTCCCCACACACACACACCTTGGCTCCGTCTTCCTGGGCCTGAGCGGGAAGCCTGCTTGCTTCTCAGCCCTCCCAGGCTTCCTGCGCGAACAGCTGATTCGCGGAAAGCAGGGGGGAGGAGAAGCAGGGAGGAGGCAGAGCTGAGGTGAGCTGGGGCGCTTGTTAAATTCAAATGCCCTTTTAGAACCGGTTGTCCCACATGGGACAACCAGTTCTAAAAGGGCTTCTAAATTTAACAACCAGTTCCTGCGAACCAGCTCCAGCTCACCACTGCCAATCACCCAAACCACCGATGTTGTGAAAATCACTAGGGGAGCACTAGGTTCACATGCTTGCCTGACCCTATCCTGAGGTAAGCAAAAGAAATGCTATCTGAGGCCATCCCCAAAACCCCACCTAAAAGCTCCCCAACTCTCAGTTTTTTCACTTAAAGTCTTGTGACTAACTCAGTGCACTCTGAAGCTGTGAATACTGAACTGTGTATGCTTTTCTGGAATCTGAACATTTATCTGGTAATATTGTAGCATTGTTTCAACGTGGGCATTTCACACGTATAGAAGCATGGGGTGTGTAAGAACAAAAGTTTAGTAAAATATCCAACTTTCTCAAGTTGACTTGCAGCTGCAGTCATCATGTGCGCAACCTCTGAGAAGCTACTTTTTAGTGGCTGGTGTGTGACATAGGCCTTCTGGGTAGAAATACATTGCCAGGCAGAGATTTTAGTGTGTCTAGTTAAATTAAATTAACGACTGTGTGTAGGAATACAGATAAAGTAAAAAATAGAGGTCCGATTATATTAACGCTTGTCACTAGCAAGGAAGATAGTATAAGAAAAATTAAACTTGTTAGATCTCATTACTGGAACTTGCCCAGCAGGGAATAATTTGCATTTAGAAGTCTAGTGTATTTTTAGTACAGTTGTACTTGGGGAAATTTGTCATGTTTTATCCACTCTATTGAATATTGCAATATCTGCCTCAACATTATGCATCTTAACAGAGCAAAGACTAATCAGATTTTGCTTGATCCTACTCCTTCATCTTTTGGCTTTCACTTCTCCCATCTATTCCATTTTCTTAGCAGAGCCGCCTTTCTTACCTCTAGCAGCTTCACTTACAAGGCCTGAGTACACTGCGGAAATGTACCTGTAGACGAGCACTTCGTTGCTCGTGGTATAAATTCGCTGGAGACCACTCTTTCACACACCAGTGCCCTTTTATTTCCCTGTATTTTCCCACCACCACGTATATACAGCTATCTACAGTTCAATATCAGTCAGGTAGCCCCTTAGGGAACAGCTTGCTCTTACAGCTAGCTGGGAGCAACAGGCTCTCACTCCTCACTTTCCTGTCCCCCCCATTCCTTCCTGCTAGCTTTATAGGCCTTCCTCTCAGCAGGCTCACAGGTGATTGCTCTCAGGCTCCTTTAATGAGCCATACCCTGCCAGCTCCAGTCAGTTCCCCTTTATGGGAGCTATGCAAGCAGGTTCTGAGCTAACAGGGGCTGGTTCAGTGCCTCTTAGGCCAGCACCCTGTTACACACCCTCCCCCTTAAGATCGGCGCCCCCGGGCCACCTTTGGCCCCTCGGCCCTTCCGCCGTTCCTCCGAAGGAGGTTCTTTCGGGGAGCCCTCCCCACTCCCAGCTGGGTCCTTCCCAGCCAACACCCCAGATGGTTTCTCCATCCCTCTCCCACAGAAGGAGCATTTCTCCGGGAGTGGTGGCCCCACCATCTCTGCTTCCGCCCGCAGGTCGTCACACCGATCGCAGTGTGGCAGGCCCCGTATCCCCAGCTTCCCCTGTGTGTCTGGCCGAGGTTTGGGGGTTGTTTTCACTTCTAGCGGGGTTTCCCCGGGCTCTCCTTGCGGCTCAGGGCTCTCCTGCCCCTCCGATGGGGGGGTCAGCACTCATCCCACTGCTGGGCGGGACCTTCCACGCCTCAGTTTCCCCCGTTCGTCCCAGTACATCTGGGGCTTCTTCCGCAGAGAGCAGGATCAGGGGGTGTTCCCCCATGCCCCTTCCTTCTCTGTGGGAGTCCAGACCGACCAGCTCCCCCATATATGCTTCCCGCGGGTCTCCCCACTCTGGGCTATGCTGTCTAGGAGTTTTTTCTTGGTTCCCAGTATGGGGCCCATCCTCCCGCCCTGGGGTTCATATTCTCTGGGGATCCAACCCCCCTCTTGGGGTACCCCGTTGTTTCGTGCCCAGTAGTGGGACCCAGTCCCAGCCTAACACTACTGGACATGGTAGTTTCTCCAGGACCCCTACCCACTTCCACCTGAAGCAACCCTTCACTTCCAGGGATACCTGGGCTACCAGGCAAGACTTCCTGTCCCCATGTACATACCCGAGGGCCATCCTTTCCCCCGGAATGAGCCAATGTGGCTTAACCAGCGCCTTTCGCACCAGCATGCAACTCGAGGCGGTGTCGACCACAGCCATTTGGAGTCTCCGCCCCACTTTCACAGGCACAGTGGACACCCCCAGCCCCTGCTTCCGTCCCGCCCATTCAGTCCAAGCACAAAAGTCCGCCCAGCCACATTCCATGTCCGGGCAGTCTTGTTTAACATGCTCCAGCTTCCCACACCGCCAGCACGTTAGGCGGGCGGGCCTCTCGGGTGCTCCTCGAGGCACCTCTTTTTTCTCCTTGCCTCTCCCGGGGAAGGAGTCCACGGGCTCCTGCCCCAGTTCCCTGTTTTTCCATTGCCAGTCCTCCCCCTGGGGTCCCTCAGCCTCTATATACTCCTCGGTTACCAGGACCGCCTCTTCGACGGTGCCTGGCTGGTGTCTCCTCACCCAGGTGCGCACTGTCTCCGGGAGACTTTGCAAGAACTGCTCCAGTATTAGGGAGTCCATTATCTCCTCCATTGTACACGTGTCAGGCCTCAACGAGCGTGTGGCCCAGTCCCTTAACCTCTGGGTGAATGCCCGGGGTCGCACAACAGACGTCCATTGGGCCGACCAGAGCTTCTGCCTGTACCTTTCCACTGATAAGCCTACTCGGTCCAAAATGGCTGCTCTCACGGCCTCATAGTTCTGGGCAGCCTCTTCCCCCAAAGCCATATAGGCCGCTTGCGCCTCGCCACTCAAATAAGGGGCTAGTCGGAAGGCCCAGGTAGTCCTGTCCCATCCGGCCCCCGCGGCTACCCTCTCGAAAGTTCCCAGGAAGGCGTCCGGGTCATCCGCCGGGCTCATTTTACAGAGTCCCCAGCCCAGTGGCCGGGTGCCCTCCCCTGCCCCAGGATTCACCAGCCATTGCAGGAGCTGCCCGTGGACATTGCTTTGCTCCCAGATGAAATCCTGCAGGCTTTTCTGTTGCTCAGCCTGCCAGGCCAAAGCAGCCTGTCTTTCTGCTTGGTGTGCCTGCTGGGAAGTCTGCAGGGCTTGCTGGGTCTGTTTCTGTTGCTCTACAAGCCATTTCAGGGTCTCCTCCATTGCCGGGCCACCAACCGTGCTCGTTGGCTTCAGTGGATCCCGGACAAGCCTCCACGTGTAGACGAGCGCTTCGTTGCTCGCGGTACAAATTCGCTGGAGACCACTCTTTCACACACCAGTGCCCTTTTATTTCCCTGTATTTTCCCACCACCACGTGTATATAAAGCTATATACAGTTCGATATCAGTCAGGTAGCCCCTTAGGGAACAGCTTGCTCTTAAAGCTAGCTTGGAGCAACAGGCCCTCACTCATCACTTTCCTGTCCCCCGCCCTCCTGCTAGCTTTATAGGCCTTCCTCTCAGTAGGCTCACAGGTGATTGCTCTCAGGCTCCTTTAATGAACCACACCCTGCCAGCTCCAGTCAGTTCCCCTTTATGGGAGCTATGCTAGCAGGTTCTGAGCTAACAGGAGCTGGTTCAGTGCCTCTTAGGCCAGCACCCTGTTACAGTACCCAAAAATGCCAGCTGACTCGAGCCATATATAGACTAGGTTTATGTTACAAGCCCATGCACACAAAGCCAAAATTAGTGAGCATAAAGTTTGTGTAGAAGTGAAGATGGATAAGATGATGTCACCATTTTAACTGCTTCCAGGAAGCTGGATAGAAATGGATACTCAAGTTCACAGTGTATTCTTTGTTAAAAAGTTGGTTGCACCCTAGAACGTAAATAGAATTGCATTGGATGTTGCTTAGTAGCAAGTACAGAAGGATCACTGCATCAGTCATTTTCCAGTGAGGATACCCAGCTTAGCTCTACCCAGTACATTAACCCCTACCTTGGGGCAGTTCCTCCAAAATTCTAACTGGTTGGAGCTGTAGCATAGAACAGGATCCGACAGCCTGCACAGGTTTTTTTAATTGAACAATTTTCTTGACATAGAATAATAGTTAGCAAGTTTGAACACAGTTATTCAGAAGGTGAAGGCAAGGCAACTTTCAAGTCAGCTAGAGTCCACACATTTCTTAATGTCTCTGTCTGATTTAGTATGCTGAGCTGGTGCATTAGTTTATGATCTCACAGCAACAAGATTGGTTGGCATCAGACCTTTCAGCTGATTCATCTTATTGACTGCAGTTGATACGAGTGCTAACAATGTCTTGTTGAGCCTGACTGCTATGGACAAGATTGCTTGAGTGGGTCTGTTGACATTCAGAGAGACCGGAGAGCGTGGAGTTTGGCAGTCAGAGCCCTTCAAAATACCTAAAAGTTTAAGGTTTAGTAAGCGCAATAACCAGGAATCCACATGCCAAAAAGTCACTCTGTGCTGGGACTAAGAAGTGTAAAGTGCATGTTACTGACCTGAGTGCTCACGTACAAGCAATACGGCTTTGACATTCTTGTGGATTATCAAATTATCTAGGGCAGTGTTTCCCAAACTTGGGACGCCGCTTGTGTAGGGAAAGCCCCTGGCGGGCTGGGCCGGTTTGTTTACCTGCCGTGTCCGCAGGTCTGGCCGATCGCGGCTTCCACTGGCCGCAGTTCGCTGCTCCAGGCCAATGGGAGCTGCTGGAAGTGGCGCAGGCCGAGGAACATACCTTCAGATGGCCCTTGCAAGTCAGGGTTGAGGCGCACCGGCAGATCAGTGTGTGAGAAGCTTTTGTTCTATGTCCATTCTGTATCTGTTCTCTGGGGAAATACAGGACTTCAGTCTCCAGCACCTGTCATGAATTCTAAATACACTTACAGAAAGGTAACTGGAAAACCTCCAAGTTCGTGCACTTACACCCACTCATTTAATTGCCACTTTGTTGCCATTGTCAAGGGTAGTACTGATGTTACAAATTGTTTCTACATCAGAGAACATGGTGCTTTGCTGCAGTCATGATCAGACTGTGTGTATTTTTGGAAATTTCAGCTGTGTGGGAAGGTTAGCTCTGAAAGGCACAATAGTGCTGTCTGCTGGGTTAAGGTGTCTCAGACAGTGCCTTGGTTATAGCCCTCAGTGTTGCAAAAGATATTCATTTTGTTAATATGGCAGCAGATTGCTTGGCTATTGAGGATTCAGGTACTTATATTTACTATGGAAACAGGGCTCTTCAACCTTAAGCTCTGTGAAACTCAGGGATTCATGTACAGTTAAAAACCTACCACCTGGGTTTCTCTAGCATCTTCTGGCACAGTAATGAATGAGGAAATGCACCATCAATTTCTACATTTTGCGTGTTGGTCCTTTTACTGCAGAGTTCACCAGCACTGGAGGAACGGAGAGCTTGGAAGGAAAGCAGAATTCTTCTAGAATTATTGAAAACTATATTTGAAATTTCTGCTATCTTTTGGCATTGACAGGGAAGAATTGTTCTGTCAAACTTCACTAGTGCTTGTGAATGACACTAAGTTTTAAAACGACTCCATCAACATGGGGATGCCCAAAATTAAAGCCACATTATTCTTACTGTCTGGGGACCACGCCTCATCTCCCTCAAAAATTAACTTGATTGCAACACCTAAAAGTGTACTAGGCACTTTACAGATGATAAAGAAAACATGGTCTTTGACCCCCAAAGAATTTACAATCTGTTGACAGATTTATTTATTTTTTGTTCAATACACTATCTAGGACAGTGGTTTTCAACCTGTGGTTCTCGGACCCCCAGGGGTCCACATGCTATGTCTAAGGGGTCTATGAAAGGTTGTCGTTACCATAGAATAGTGTGTTTCAACCAGTGGTCCATGAACCCTGGGGGTCCTCAGGCTATGTCTAAGATTTCCAAAGGGGTCCGCACCTCCATTCAAAACTTTTTAGAGGTTCGTAAATTAAAAAAGGTTGAAAACCGCTGACCTAGGAGGGGTCAGATCTGACCATTCAATTATAATTCTGTTTGCTAATAAGGAATTAAAATGTATACTGTGAATCTTGCGTTATTTCAGGTACAGCAGTATTCTTTATATGAACATACAAGCCTGGTGTGATTTGAAAAGCGCACACATATTCCATATTTGCACTATATCAGTGACATAATTTGAGCTATGAGGAGACCTCTAGTTTCAACTCTTATCCTTTTTAAATGTGAAAGAAAAAGAAAGATCACCATGAGCGGACAGATAGATATTCAGAGCCCATATGCTATATCTGTGGCACTGAACCCTTATTTCCACAAGCAAATCTTTTGTTCATTCTTCCATCCTGTTAAGTCAAGTTGAATTCCAGAGAGCAGTACTAAGCAAAAGTGACTATCGAATTCTTCCTCTCAATCCCATCTAAAAAGTTCATGTATTCTTTACTGCAAAATCATTCCCCTATTTCTCATGTTGCTAGTGCTGGAATAAATGAAATAATGAATTCTTTCCTCAGTAAGATATTCTTTTTCGCCCACTTGTAACTTCTGCCAGCCATTAAAGCAAAGATTAGTGTTGGATTCCTAAACCTTGCTTTCTGATACAACGGCCGCTTTTCTGTTGTTTCATTTCTGTTCCCTTTTGTATCTGCCTGCTCTGCTACTGAGCTACTTTGAGGGTATCTAATTAAGAGATTATGAAGAATATTAGAAGGAGCAAAAGAGAGTAGAGGTGGGGAATGAATCGCAATTTATAACAAGGATAGTTGGAAGAAACAGTGGCAATGGTGGTAGTGTAAAACATGTAGTTTTGTACCCTGTTTAACCGTGTAGTTTACATTTGTCCCCAAAATGAAAATGCAACATGAAGCACTTGGCTTGCATTTTAATTTGGTTAAATGTTCTTCATTAATAGATTGACACATGAGATCATCTGTCAAATATTGAGTACTTCCAGAAACAGCCCTGTAGAATACTTTCACAATGATAGGCAGCTTTGCTTTCCTAGCATGGGCTAGATGCCTTATACAATCTCACAACCAGTCTGCTTGGGGTCTTTATTTTAGTTTTGCTTCTGAGTTGTGGGCATTTTTGCATTTTTCTGTATACTCAGGGTTTTTTTTTTTTTTTTCCCCTAGAGTAGCATTAGGACTTCATCTAATTCATTGGGAACTTGCAGTGAAAAATTAGCCTCCAATTGCTAATTAATTTTTATCTTTTTGTAGATTCTTCAGAAGCCAACTCCAGAACTGAAGCATCCGTTGGCTGCCTTCTCAAAGCGGGTTGCTGGTGCTGTGACAGAGCTTATTCAGACAGCAGAAGCAATGAAAGGTGGGTCTGACAACCCACTTAGTTAATACACAGAGTGGTTCCAGAAATGACAAGAGACATTAAATATTTACCTAGATGTTAATTTTCATAGTTAGTTTTTGATATTTAAAAACTTTGTAATTCCCTGGCCCACCTCCACTTGCCCTGGTACAACTTAATTGCACAAAAATGTTATAATTGGCTGCTCTCCCCCAGCAATGGATTTGATATGGGTCACCAGCCCCATTCTCCACAGCAAGAGACCCTGCACAATAGTTTTTAAGTATAGTTTGCACTAGGGCTGTCGATTAATTGCAGGTAACTCACGCGATTAACTCAAAAAAAAAGAATTGATTTAAAAAAATTAATCGCGATTAATCGCACAGTTAAACAATAGAATACCAATTGAAATTTATGAAATATTTTGGATATTTTTCTACATTTTCAAATATATTGATTTCTATTACAACACACAATACAAAGTGTACAGTGCTTGCTTTATAGTATTATTTTTATTACTAATATTTGCACTGTAAAAATGATAAAAGAAATAGTATTTTTCAATTCACCTCATACAAGTACTGTAGTGCAATCTCTTTATCATGAAAGTGTAACTTACAAATGTAGATTATTTTTTTTTTGGTTACATAACTGCATTCAAAAAGAAATCAGTATAAAACTTGAGCCTACAAGTCCACTCAGTTTTACTTTTGTTCAGCCAATCACTAAGACAAACAAGTCTGTTTACATTTACGGGAGATACTGCTGCCTGCTTCTTATTTACAATGTTACCTGAAAGTGAAAACAGGCATTTGTGAAGTCAGTGTTTCAAGGTATTTACATGCCAGATATGCTAAACATTCGTATGCCCCTTCATTCTTTGGCCACCATTCCATGCTGATGATGCTTGTTAAAAAAATAACGCATTAATTAACTTTGTGACTGAACTCCTTGGGGGAGAATTGTATGTCTCCTGTTCTGTTTTAATCACATTTCTTGTTATAGCAGTCTTGAATGATGACCCAGCACATGTTCATTTTAATAACACTTTCACAGCAGATCTGACAAAACGCAAAGAAGGTACCAATGTGAGATTTCTAAAAATAGCTACAGCACTCTACCCAACGTTTAAGAATCTGAAGTGCTGTCCAAAATCTGAGAGGGACGAGGTGTGGAGCATGCTTTCAGAAGTCTTTAAAAGAGCAGCACTCCGATGCAGAAACTACACAACCTGAATCACCAAAAAAGAAAATCGACCTTCTGCTGGTGGCATCTGACTCAGATGATGAAAATGCACATGCAATGGTATGCTCTGCTTGGATCATTATTGAGCAGAACCTGTCATCAGCATGGACACATGTCCTCTGAAATGGTGGTTGAAGCATGAAGGGACACACGAATCTTTAGTGCATCTGACACACAAATATCTTGCAATGCGGCATATTGCCATGCAAATGCCTGTTCTCACTTTCAGGTGATTATTATAAACAAGAAGCAGGCAACATTATCTCCTGCAAATGTTAACAATCTTGTTTGTCTGAGCAATTGGCTGAACAAGAAGTAGGACTGAGTGGACTTGTAGGCTCTAAAGTTTTACATTGTTTTATTTTTGAATGCAGGTATTTTTTATACATAATTCTACATTTGTAAGTTCAACTTTCATGATAAAGAGATTGCACTACAGTACTTGTATTAAGTAAATTGAAAAATACTATTTTGTTTTTTACAGTGCAAATATTTGTAATAAAAATAAATATAAAGTGAGCTCTGTACACTTTGTATTCTGTGTTGTAATTGAAATCAATATATTTGACAATTTAGAAAACATCCACAAATATTTAAATAAATGGTATTCTATTATTGTTTAACAGCGTGATTAATCACACGATTAATCACGATTAATTTTTTAATCACTTGACAGCCCTAGTTTGCACCCTGCCCCCACTCAGGGAATGGTTAACAAGCTCCACCAAACACTGAATCGATTATCTCCTGTGATGGGGCAAGGCCAGATGGCTACAGTAAAGTAGTGAGGAACAGGTATGTTAGCCCCAGGCTAAACAAATCCCTGGTACCATGGTAACCAAATGGCAGTTGCTCCAGGTTAATCAAGACACCTGGGGCCAATTAAGATCCTTCTAGAAGGCAGCGGAGATAGCTAGATTGATTGGGACACCTGAAGCCAATCAAGGACTAGTTAAAAGCCTCCCAGTTAGTCAGTGAGGTGCGGGTGTCAGGAGCTATAGGAGGGAGCTGTGCTGTTGGAGGAACGAAGTAGTACGAATTCATATCAGGTGCAAGGAAGGAGGCCCTGAGATAATTGTGAAGAAGATATTGAGTGGGGGCTGCTGTGGGGAAGTGGCCCAGGGAATTGTACATGTCCTATTTCCAAAAAGTCAGCTTCCATAGCTGCTAATTTTAGAGTCCCTGGGCTGGAACCTGGAGTAGAGGGCGGGCCCAGGCTCCCCCCTCCCCTCCCTGATTAATCACTGATACTGGGAGACAACAGAGACTGTGCGAGGGAGGGTTGTTTCTCCTCATCTCCCTTGCTGGCTTATGATGAAAATGGCTCAGTAGACTGTGACCCTTGCCTCTAGAGAGAGAAGGGCTACATGGAGGGTCACAGTGAGCCTCTGAGGTTAGCAAAATCCGTCAGGAAACGCAGGACCCACGGAGTCAAGGACAGAACTTTGTCACACTCCACACTGACCTTAAGCAGTTAGGAAGAATTTGGATCCAGCTTGCAGGAAATAGCCCAGAGTTGCCATCAGCCACTCTGCTACCAAAGTGAGCAACAGTGGCTGTAACTACAAGATTCAGTATTGGTTGCCTCAGGACGCTATAGTTTTTCCAGAGAAGGTGATACATTCACCATGAGACTCTATTCCTGTAACCAAGCCCAGGCTGCTAGGATTAACAAAGGTATAGAATGCCCAGAACAGTTCCACTGTGTGTGACCCCACCAATACAGCTCTACGGGTGAAATCTTTGTCTCTCTGTGACGGGTAGTCTGCCCCTTAAGGGTAGTAGTGCATAATGGTCAGCCAATCCCATCATGTGGTGTGTTCCTTTAAGATTTTAAAAAGTCCAGTGTATATATAGATATAGATGTGTGCACACAAAGCCTAGTAGATATTGGTAGAAAGGATCTGCTCCCAACCAACCAGTTGGGGATGAGCTGAAAGACAAGGACCAGCATAAATGCTGCCTCCTCCCTCATAGTTGGGCACACACTAGCAGGAGATGGCTGACCCTCTGAGCCTGAGAACTAATTGGGGGAGAAAGGGCCAGTGGAGGGAGAAGCTGGTTAAGGTCCTACAGCTGGCTAAAGTACACCTTGCTCCAGGAGAGCTGGGGACTCCTGGCTGAAGGAGGGAGGTAACAGCTGCCTGAATTACCCAACTCCAGGGGAAGGTCTGGGCTCCTGCCTCATAACGAGACAGCGACTGATGTATAGAGAGCTGGGGACTGCTGGCTGAAGGAAGGAGGTAATAACCATCTGACTTGCCCAGCTCCAGGAAAGCAGTTCTGGCACCGGCGTTCCACAAGAGGAACGGGGAACTGAAGAGGAGCCCAGGGAGGGGCGAAAGACCTCTTGTTTACCTTAACTTGGGACTGTTGTGTAAGGTGGTGTTTATTTTGAGACTTTGAGTACCCCAGAAGGGGATTGAATTTTCAAGTGACCTAGCCATGAGGCTAGGCCACAGAACATCCAGATGGAGGTGATTAACAGGGGGAGGCAAACAAGGAGGTGGCCCAGCAGCCCACACAGACAACACAGGCTGGTGGAGTGATTCTGTGGATGTGGGTTCAACTTGGGGCCAGGCTCCATGACACTCCCATACAGCTACAGCATATGGTCTCCAAAAATCTGTCATAATTTTGTTCTGTCTGATACTACTTCCATGGCATTCTAGCCTCCTCTTCAATATACTTTGTCACAGTCATCTGTGAACCATTGAGAGTGAAGCCATCAGACAGGTGCATTCAGGAGCCCTAATAGCATAGGACAAAATGTAATTAAAGTCCCACAAAATTATCAATAGAATGGCAACTGGATGAACAGTGCTTTTCCTTCTGCCTGCCTGGAGGCCCAGTGGTTCTACTAGTCCCCAAAGGCAGACCACTAAAATAGGTCCATTGCCCTTCTGGGATCGTTGTGTCCCAACTTCAAATCAAGTCAGCTCATTACAAAGTTACATCCAATCTCCAGTGCTGATGCAAACACCTCAGTCCAGATTCCAGAGTGCATCCAACCTAAAGTGTGGAACTTCAGCATCCCAGGCTGTCACTGCAGTGGTGAATCAAAGAAATAAAAGAAAATTAAAGGTTGGGTGATTCTTTGAGCATTCTCCCAGATAGGAAGAAATGGCAGCAATTAAAAATGAAACTGTGTAGCAGGGTTGGGTTTTTTAAGGGCATAAGCATGTTTATATTCATGACTCAATTACTTAGAAAAAGTTTCTTGTTTTGTATGCTAAAATCATGAGTGAGCAATGCCATTTTAGATGTTTATTGCTCTTTGATTTTGTAACTGATTTTTGTCTAAATTTTCATCCCCTGGTTTGGGCAGACTCCTAAAACCGCAACTGTAAAACAAAGAGTACAATAAACAAGAGGAATTATATTATCAAGAAGGAGTTGTAAATCTACCGAGATGCTTATTGAGGTAGTGAAAGAAATATTACTCTGCCATTAATAAAGTGAATTGAGTACAGGGTGTTCTGGAAGTGTTTGTTGAATGAGCACATTTACATGACCAGCAAATAGGTACATAACTAATTTAATATTATAGGCAATGTAACATGAAAATCATTTCAGTGCTACTTATTCTTACTTTGGAAAAAGGATATCTAGTAAAACTACATTTGTTTGCTTATCCTGTCATTAGCAGGGCCGGCTCCAGGCAGCAGCTTACCAAGCAGGTGCTTGGGGCGGCCACTTCGGAGAGGGGCGGCACGTCCAGTTGTTTGGCGGCAATTCGGCGGACAGTCCCTCACTCCTGCTCAGAAAAAAGGACCTCCCGCCAAATTGCCGCCACAGATCGCGATCGCGGCTTTTTTTTTTGTTTGGCTGCTTGGGGTGGCCAAAACCCTGGAGCCGGCCCTGGTCATAAGTTTGGCATATAATTGTCCTGATTTTAGTTGTAATGTAATATCAGTCTCACCAGAGGGTTAAAAATAATTCTCTTCTATTTAAGTTTTCTACACCATTCCCGGTAAGTTGCAGAACTTTGGAGTGAACTGCCTCTGAACATTCGTTTTATGAGGTCTGCAAAAGTATAAGATCTTTCCTTTCCAAAAAATGTTCAGCCTTGTACGTGTAGGAGAAACTTGCTTATTGGCCTTATTGGCACTGGGATTAAAATGGCACTGATCACTCTCGTGTTTTCCATGGATGGGTGCTAGCCTTGTCTCCCTAGCCGCTGTAGACAGGGACTTACTGAGAACTGTTAGTGAGACCATGATCTCCTGAATAGTCTAATACATCCTTTGTGCTCTTTTGTCACAGTTCTCAGACAATGCATCTGTCAGCCTTGGTCAAGGAAAGCACACTAGAATCTTTCTAAGTAACAACCATGATTAAACATGGTTGGCTGATACAATAGTTCAGTACCCAGTGTAGACATGGCTTTTGAAGGAGCAATTCAGAGTTGCTTTTCTTACACAAGTTCTTAATCAAGCCACTTTCATAATAGAACATTACGGCTAAGTGCTCTTTCCATTCTGACTTGTGTTTTGCAGTAAGTGGCTTAAATTATAGTATTTTATGCCATTAATGGTATTAAAATGAGGTCTCCATATTATACACACTCTCTGTATTTAGCACATAGTTTTGAGGTGTAACAGGGAATCAGCTTGGTCAAAAGGCACTAAAAATGCTACTGAAGTTATTGTCTTCCCCTCGGTTAATTTTAGGCACGGAGTGGGTGGATCCAGAGGACCCGACAGTCATTGCTGAGACAGAGCTATTGGGGGCTGCAGCTTCAATTGAGGCTGCAGCAAAGAAGTTAGAGCAGTTGAAACCACGAGCCAAGCCGAAGGTGAGTGTCCATCTTCCATGTTCTTTTTAAAGTTAATGCCGCAGAAATGCAAATAACTGGTATCATGGGGAGTTGATTGCATCAAGGTGATGGTTGGAACAATCAATCCTTACATTGTCCTCAGCTGGTGCCAGTAGAAGCTACACTTTTCAGACAAGCTAGGCGTGACTTACCACAAAGGCAAAATATATTTGGTGGCTCTTTCAAGTGGTGGACGTGCAAGTTATAGATTTGGATATGGAGGGGAAGGAAAGGTAATTCTTAGCAAAAGCTTTTTCAAGTTACAGGATAGTTATTGTTAGTTCATTCACTTTTCTCTGTCCAAAAAATCTTTTCTGATGTGAAAGATCATTCTTGTTCCTCAATTTCAGAGGCTTTTGAGCCCACTCACTCACTCTTCAGTATGTGTGCAGTGTACTATGGGAGGTTGTGGCCAAAAGATCTTATAAAATCAACACACAGTATTTAACTTGTAGCAAACAGGTGTTTACTTTTAAACTCTTTGTTTAAAATATAAACTGATTCTTCTGTGCTTATTTTCTCTTAATTCTATAAAGGGAAATGTATAAATGAAGATCCCATATGAATGCTTATGTAGTCTCATATTTTTGTGTGTTTCAGATATGTCCATGAGAATATTTTTAAGTAAAATGGAATTAACTGCTTGGATGTGTGTCAGAGGAATTATACGGCAATTATTATAACCTGAAGTAATTAGTGTACTTGCACAGTTCAGGGAGTGGGGGTATGACACAGAATCACTTCACTCCACAGTGTAGAATCCCTGACAAGTTTTGGAATAAATCTCCATGAGACCCAGGACTGGGCCTCTTTTAATAAAAATAAGGCATGCCATTAACTTCAGAAAGCAATGCTGTGGTCATGTCCTTTTCTCAGTGGCTTCAGAGTTACTGGACTTTGTTCTAAGCAGATGAGGAATCTTCCCAAGAAAGCAGGTTCTAAAGGTCATTCAGTGTCAGACGGTTGTTGTCAGGAGATTGTGGTATTTTCTGTCATTCAGGAGCATAAGATTAAGACCATTTTTAATAGCCTCACAAGGTGGGCTGTGGTGATGTCCACTACTTGGGGATTTTTTCTTTCAGTGGGGAGAATGAAGTCCACGAAAGAGCAGTGCTTTTCTTTGTTCTATGGGTTTTGTAATTGGTACATTCATTTTTTGTGAAGAAAGAAAGTTGCTTGTAATGAGATTATGTGGAGCGGAGGATTGAGGCTGGAAAAGTCCTTTAACACGTTTTCTACAAAACCGCTACACAATACCATATCTGAGTTGCCTAGTAACCTTGAAACCATTCTCCTGCTAACATCTAAACCACTCCAGTGGCCATTGTCATTTAAAAATGAATACAAATCCTACACCTGCTCCTCATTTAACATGTTAATTTGAGTATTCAGTCTGCCTGTGCTTTATTGGGCTCTTTTTGTCATTTTGTTGAAAACACATTCATATCTCTGGATCTATATTTCATTTTGGAATAAAACTTTCCTTCCATCACTCGTAATTCAGTTTATCTTTCACAAACATTTACTGTAATGCAAGTGAAAGGTGCTGGAATGACCCCACTGGATATTTCAAACTCTCTGTTTATCCACAGAGCAGAGAACAGCATCGAAGTGCGCTTCTTATCACCATCCCATCAATGTGTTACAACACAGATCAGGAGATACTGTACTGCCTGTAGGGGAAGAATGTTTTAGGTAGCTCACTCTTAGATGTTTCAATCTTAAACTGCTGTATCAACAAGCATCTCTGTCACTCAAATCTAAACTAGTAATTAGACATCTGTTCTCTTATACACAGTCCACCAAATACAGAAACATAAAAACTGCTATATTGGATCAGACCAGTGGTCCATCTAGCCCAGTATCCTGCCTCTGGCGGTGGCCATTAGCTTCAGAAAAAAGTTGCTGGAGAGCCTGCAATAGACCCCGGCCTGCAGGGAAAGTTTCTTCCTGACCCCTCTTAATTAGAGGTGGATTTACACCCTGAAGTCTGAGGGTCTGGATCCCTTCCAAAATTCTTGAGGTTTTGTGGGGTTTCTTTGCTTGTTTTAATCCTTACTATTTTAGCTCTGTCTATGTTCCTGTTTATTAATATAATAGAAATGAAACAATAAAGCTAACACTTGTTCTGATTTTGTAATTGAGCTGCACTAGTTTTGTTCCTTCAATAATATAACCTTTATTTTTTATTCCATTTCCCTTTTCTTTTTGTTGTGCCCCCACCCCATTGCATCTCTGCACCACACACCTCCCATTGCTGTCTTAATAAGATTAAGAAGGATAGAGTGGGACCAGCAACTTTCCTCTTCAGGAGAATCATTCCTATCTCAGAGAACATTCTCTGTTAAGGAATAGGTCTGTGAGCTCCTGTCCATGTTTTATTGCATAATGTACATTCTTTCTGAATTAAACACAACAGCCTGGCTGCAGAGCAGATACAGTCTCTTGCCTTTCAAAAGCTTAAATGCTCTGACTACTAGTACAATGTCCAGATGATGTTTTAGTACTTGTCTTGTTTCTGAGCTTGTGTATCTAAAAGTATTTTGAGGAAGACCCTCCTTATCTGTTCCTCCTTCGGGTGTAATACAAACTGTCTTGGATTTTAATTGTGGTGTCCAAGGGAAAAAATGGTCTGCTGAGCTGTTCAAACTTTTCTCTTCATTATATACACAGGTTATAGTGGGTGGTATGTCCTTTACAGCACAGTTATGGATTTACATTGATTGTGGTGTCTGTTTTGGTGGGTTGAATATCTTTTGCTTATATTGCCTGTTCTAATATAACATGGTCCTTGATTTGTAAAGATACCACCTGGTACAAAATAACTACCCAAAAGAGCAAGTTTAAAAAAAAGAAAAGAAAAAGTAGTCTCTGTATTTCTTTTATGGAATTAAAAATGACATGTTTCATTAACTCTTACAATGGAAAAAAATAGTTATAGGAAAACAATGTTGTTGCTTGGGTACATCACCAGAGACCATTGTTGTATGTGCATTATATTCCTGTTGGTGCACTCTTTATGCCTCCGTGCAGACTTATGCCTTCAAACACAAGGCAAGGGGTTGCGTCTTTAGCAGTCGATAACAGTTCCCTGCTGTTAGCCTTCAGCAGTGTGTCTTTTTTCCCCCCCAAGATGAATCAAACCTGGATGCCTTTTCTGCAGGGCTCTGTGTGATATGTTTGATATATTAGGTTGTTATTTAATCCAACTATATATCAAACATATTCCTATAGTGTCCTGCCCTGTCTCCGGGGGTTTATAAAGTAGTATAAGGCAATATGAAGGAATACTTTAAATCACAAGCAGATTTAGAAGACTTCCTGCAGACTCTGATTCTAATCTGATTTTTTTTAGAACATATACAGTGAAGTGCTCTTTTTAATAGGGTTATTCTTGGGGAGATGCGTAAGTTGCATAGGTTCATTTATAATGGGCAGCAGCCATGCAAGTACTAAATCTCATAGGAGTGGTCTCTTGTGTTTACCTGGCTGTGTGCAGTAACTTACCCTTGTTGCTATATCTTTATTAAATTGAAGCTGAGAGGCACTTCAGAAGAAACATAGTTTGTCTTTCATGACTGTTGGCAACAAGTTAATGGTGGTTCACTCATTCTTCTACTGATCCTGAATCTATTCATGCTGTCCATTACATTTGAAGGATGTACTGTAGGAAACTGGTTAAAAGTAAGGAAGTACAAAAATATCTGTATCTAACTCTGACACAAAAAGGGTAGCCAAATGATGTTGGACAATGACTCCTCCTGTAGCACTTCTTGTGCTGCTCAGTCTTGGATTGTATATGTAGTGACCAGTTTGGACCTCTCATTTTGAGGTATACCCTTCAAACCACACTGCTAGTGTGTAGATGAACACAAGTATGGACCTTTTGTTGTGCCCAGCAGGATGTGCAACAGTTGGTCAAGCTGGTTATGCTCCAAGACCAGCATGAGGAGTGGGTAAGCATGCCCACAAGCATGACTAAGCAGTAGTTGTCCTCTGCACTGAGCCCTCTGTCTCGAGCCCTCTGCGTGCCCACTTTTTACTTGTGTGTTAAGGACAAAAATAATGGGAAGGAATGGACAGAGTGGACCTGTTGAAGAAAATAACAGAGTAAGCTCAGTTCCCCTCTGGTTACGTGGAGGTGCGGCATAGGACTGGTCAAAAGTTTCCATTGAGAGTGGTTTTTGACAAAACCCAATTTACCCTGGCAAGCATCTGCTTTCCACAGAAAGTGTTTGACTTCTAGCTGGAAAACCGGGAAGTATTCTGCTAACTGAAAAATTTGGGGTTTAGTTTTTTGAAAAAGTCAAGATTTTTGCTGAAAACTTGAGAAAAAATAAGAAAATTCATTTTCATAGAAATTTTCTGTGGAGGGATAAACCTGTTTTCCAGACAGCTCTAGTGCTTAGCTATTCATTCCCATGATAGGTCTTATGCCTGCCCCTATGTAGCAGTACCTTAGTAACTGCACCATAGCTTTCTCATTGATGCAAGATGTCATTCCCCTGCAATCCTTTTTCAACTAGTCATTTTTACATTGTGTTTATACGTACAACACTGAGCACATCATGCTATGCTGAATGAATCCCATACTGGTACTTTTCTTCCCCATCTGGCGTTGGTTCTCTGGAAACTTGTAGAATATTTTGAGAAGGTGTTGCATGTTGTAGAGGTATTTCTAATTCAGTAGTTAAGGACTAACTGAAAAGCTTTCTAGCCCTGATATAGATATCCATATAGCAAAGCCATGGCAGTGAACATTTTTATTAGGCTGTGTGAATAAATAAAATCCATCATCAAAATAGTTGCTGAATTGTTAGCTGATTCAGTTGTAAAATTAGAGTTAACTTCCGTACAGCACGGCCATTTAAAGAATAGTGCATATACTACTATTGATATAAAGAAGTAAACTAGCTCTCAGCTCATGGACACTTCCACTATTTTGGAAATAGGCTTAATAATTCCAGCTCAAGACAGTATTTTTCTAAAAATCAGTGAATGAAAACTGTACTGTGACACATCAGAGAGGCAAAAGATAGATGGAGCTGTATACTAACCTTCCTCTGCTTGGTACTTGAATTTGGATTTCAGCTGTAATCAAGATGGAATTGCTGGTCTCTACTTTCTTTACAGTGGACGTTGGCCCTTGTCCCCAAACCACCAGATATTTGGGTGAAGTTGGCACTATATTCTCTATAGAGGCCCAGAACTGGAAATAGCAGCATTGCTGCACATTGCCAGAAATATGTGCTCCAACTTGTCCACTGTCTGCTCCCATGAAGCTTTTGGGGGACAGGGGAGGGGGTTGTGTGCTACTAGATTTTCTCTTCAAGAGAGCCAAATTTACCTAAATGTGTTTTTAAAAAATGATACCGACTGAGTTAAATATAGTCCCTCTGGTCTACAAATTGTGCCCTTGTGTTAGTGGTCAAAGTAAGAGATTAACATTTGAGGCCTGTTGCATAAATCATAGGCCACTTTAGTTATTGTTTAGATACTATAGTTGTGGTGGTGTTGCATTACAAACATGGCCAAAAATCCATCTGCTAAGATGACTTGTTTCATTAACATGGTAATTCCTTATCATAAGCCTTTTGTACAGATGTACACGTGTGCTGTTTCTAATTAGCAGAAGCACATATTCTGCATTCAGTAGGCAGCTCTTGTTCTTTTATCTCGTCCCTTAAGGTGCCATCCAACATTATCATTACATGGCAGAAATTGATGCTAAATAGTTTTTGTTTAGGATGCCGTATTTCTTCACCAGTGACTTGACTTCCATGGATGCTGCGTTTTCATCTCCAGGATTTTGTGACTTTCTATTTTATTCACATGGTAGAAGTTATATGAAATGTTGTAGAATCAAGCACCCTACGGCTTGTTCTTTAAGCTGTGTGACATGAATTAATGCCCATGAAAGTAACAGGAGAATACAATTGGCTTTTGATTGGGTATAGAACAGGCAGGGGATGTGCATGCTTCTGTATACCAGCTTCCCAAGATATTTCTTATTGGATGTGCAGTGCTCCAGTTACTTCACCTCTGAGCCCCTTGTGGTGCCTAACTCCCCTGGAATATGGCTGGTGGTTTTGTAGTGTCCCACAGAGAACTAGAATGAGAGCACCTCACAAAAGTGACTTTTGTTTGTGATTTTCACCAACATATCAAGTTAGGTCTTTACAGATGAGCTAGGGCACAAAAATCACTGTACTTTGTAGCCCCTTGATTTAGAAAAGGGTAACATGCATAGAAACAAGGGGCTGATATTAAACGTACCTTTTCCTTCTGTAAAGGCAAATGGAGAGAAATGCAGGAATGGCCATATTTTCAAAAAGACTCTGCTCTCATTTAGGCCCCTCCATGAAGTGCTCAGTTTTTCAAATTGACGCAGGAGCTGGTGGCTGCTGTGCCCATTTGAAAATCTGCCCCCCATTTTGAATGCTGAACACTTCTGAAAATTTGAACAAACTCTCCACATCATGGCTTTCAGCTCTATGCAGCTTTAGAGTGGGATTTGGCACACTGTAATTAAAATGGTCAAAAAATGTTAAATGGTTAGGCACTGCAATTTAGGAGTATTTTGGGTTTTTTATATTCACAGTTCTTGTCCTACTTTCTCTGAAGGAAAGATCTCCAGATTAATCTTAAAAGTGCTGTATATCTGATATCCTCCATCTGAAGGCCACCAAGTATTAGGCTGTTCTGAATGGTGGAGTAAAATGTGATAATAAGTTTAATGTTCAGTCTATGGTACCATTGATGTATGTGGTGCTTTTCAAACACTTAGGAAGACAGGGTCCCTACAACAAATATTTGTAAATCTCAATTCAATACAACATAAGAGGTTCAGCCACGAGAGTGGAGTAGGTACCACCAGAAATAAGATTCACTATGGAAGACATTAACCTTTTAACAGGAGATGTAATTTCTTGTCATTAAAACCAGTGCTAACGACAAATGCCTTTCACTGTCATGGCCATTGATCTAATCATACGTTACAGACCAAGCTCATGTGGAAAGTTCTGTTTCATCAGATGTTAACTCACTTTCTTATTTGAATAATCAAGTCGCATCAGTGTGTGTAAAGGACAAGTAATAAACATGTCCATTGTTTCGGTTACTTCTCCACACCCTACTAAGTTACCAAAAATTTTAGAAGAATCTGAACATTATGCATTTTATCTCAAAACGCTGCTTAGCCTCAGTTGGAAGAGTTAGTGGTGGTATATGAGAAAGCTGTACTCACGTGGATTGTGGGAAAACATGTGAAAAGACCCATCTCTCTTAAGGAGTCCTGTTAGGGGATGCATTATGCCCTAATGTCCTCACTGATCATTCTGCTTTTGGTGCCATTTAATATATCATTTGTTCATGGTCACAGTCAAAGTAAAAATCAAAGAAAACAACAAATAACACACGCACACGTATAACCTTGTAATGCTTGTAATTGTTCTGAAAGTAATAAACATACCTAAGCTAGGAGTAGATGGGGGATGTTGACACATGGGCAAAGCAGCACCTCCATATTAACTGCCCAGGTTTAGGAAACTGACATTTGCAGAGCAATAGTTCATCTTTCATCTAGAGAAAAATATTATTAGGAATGGTTAATCTTCCTAGTTCATGCTTGTTACAATGTTGGTTTAGGTGTTTGAATGGTTCCAGACAGACCTTCAACATTTGTAACTCCAAGAGGACTGAACTGGACTGCTTTGCAGTACTTGCTTTCAGTGAAGTGATGCAGATTACAAAAAGCAATTAAATTAATGGGCTTACTTGATAACTATGTTCTGCTTTTCATTACAGATGAACAAAGAAGCATAATGATAACATTAGAGTTGTAGTTTTTTTTACAGCTTTTATGCATTCCCTTCATTATATTTACTAAGTAACTATGTGCTTTGTTTAACAAACTCTAATAATCTCAGCAAACAAACCACTTCAGAACACTACAAAGATAATACTGTGTGGGAAAATGAGAATTCCATTTCAGGCTACTGCTTTACCTGTATTTTTGAAAATAGTTTTTAATGCTTCTAGTGGAAACCAGAAACTCAGTGGCATGCACTGAAATATCTTGTGTGTGGTATTTAAATAAAATCTGTCACTTTAAATTTTGCACAACGTTGGCCACAAGGGGAACATTACTTTCCAGTTAATATTTGTGTTTGTATCCAATAGTTAATACTGTTGTCTCTTAATTTAGGCCCCAGGAAAGTGCTTTGTAGAGTGCAAATAAGGCATTGTTGATTCTTTGTCTCTGTGTAGCTGGATTACAGAATCCAAAGAAAATCTGTCCTGGAAACGGAAGAGAAAGCACTCTGTTCTGAGTTGTGTGTGACAGTGTTCTGTTTTGGTTATAGCAAGCCGATGAGACTCTGGATTTTGAAGAACAGATCCTGGAAGCAGCTAAGTCCATTGCAGCTGCTACCAGTGCCCTAGTCAAGTCAGCCTCGGCAGCCCAGAGGGAGCTGGTGGCACAGGGAAAGGTGGGTGAACAGGACATTCAACACAGCGGAAGTATTTTAAATTGTAAAGAATGTAGCTTCTTAGCTTTTCTATGTATGGAAGGCACTCTGGATTGACTAATAAAAATGTAAATCTATTGGCTTGCATGCCCTGGCCGGGGTTGGTTGAAAAGTCTGTTTAAACATAGCAAACGTAATTAGCAAACATAATTAGATTTTTGGCTTTCAAATCTCAGCTGTTTCTTGTTAAGAAAAGTGTTTCACTCCATGAAGGGCAGTGATCCAGGCTCATAACATACGGTCCCATAGTACATTTTGGGATTAAAAAAGAAATGGAGTAGTAAACAATAACATTCTGATCCAAGTTAGCAGAGGACATCACTAATTGTGCCTTCAGTGTGTTGAACGATTCAGTTAGGGCCCCGGTATGAACACAAATTAGACATGTGCAAATGGATACACTTATAGCTATTGCTAGGACAACTAACGTGCTTACAAAATTGCTCTATGTCCATTTGCCTTGTTAACATTGAGTGCTTTCTATGCCATTTCACTTCCATTTCTTCTTTTATCTAATTCACTTAATTTGAATAGAACTTAAATCTCAACAGCACCCAGCTGTTGTTTTATATTTGTGGTTTCTAATTATATTTAAGCACTGATTCTGAGCAGACTGTGCCATTGAGCCCTGGGACAAAAGAGCTATTCTGTCTTATTCAGCTGGGCTTCCTAGGGAACTTGTGTTTGGTTCCACTGTGATCACAAAGCAGTTGTTCTGCATTGTAACTGTTCAAAAAGATCTCCTATAGAACTTACTTAAAATGCATAAAACGCTTATTAAATAGATAGTTATTGAAAACTGACAGCAAGAATAGTCAAGCAAATGAGAATTTAGACCTCTGCCTTATTGCTCCACTTAGATTATTGCATTGTTTGCCTTTCTGTGATAGAACTTGTTCACATTTTGTTACATTACGACGTACAGCATCCTTTGCTATTCTCCCCACCACCACCCCAGAAGAGAGCGAGATTATATCCTGATATAAATCCTAAATATCTGTCAATTTAGACTTCTTGTCGGAGGGAACAGTTACATCTTTCTCCTCGTGTCTTTTTGAGATGGAAGCAAGCAGCACTTGTGCCGTGTTCCAGCAGAGCTCAGAAAAATTGCTAAAAACACTTTCATTCCTCCACTCCAGGAAAACCATAGCTTGCCATTCTGATGTGAGCACATTAGTCAAATGTAGTGCCATATTAGCAAACCTATTCTTCCAGCTTTGATGGAAGATTTTTTAGGCCCGGCTCTACCATGCTAACACACTAATTCATTAAGACCAGGAATTTTCATAGTCAGTGCCTTTTATCGACAGTGGGTTGCCTGCTGGCATGAGCACTGCCTTCTCCAGCTCAACTAATCCAGCAAATAGTGCGGTGCCACTTAAGGGCAGAGCCGAACCCAAACCCTTGCTCTGAACACCCACGTACTTTGGAAAAGCTTCAGGAAGGATCCAAACTTTGCTGCTCAGGCTCAACTGGAGTTACTCAGAGTGGTTTAAAATAGATCCTTTCATTAGGCAGAGAACTGTTCACAAGTAAATGTACAATAATGAAGATTCCTCTGAGGTAATGAATTCAAGACACACATCTCATACCTGTTTCCTAATTATCAATCTTCAGTTAATTGGTATCGTGAGTATCTTCCAATTCCTGTCTAGAGCAGACACTTGCTAGCCAGATTTACAGCACGATGGCCTTTGAAATGAGCAGACAGAATGCTTCCCAAATCTCCCCTGTCTGCACATAAAGGATGCAGTCTGGTATCATTCCTTTAAGCAGTGCAGCATACTTTCCTCCCTTTTACACATGTCAGAAGAAATGGCTGATGCCTGGTGTGGGGGCCATGGCTCAATCTATTACCCACCTATCACCTCAGTGGCAAGCAGCAAATAGCTCCCTTGGTAACAGCTAACAGGCCATTCCCGTCACTGGCAGTGTGAGGGAAGAGAGGAAGGTAACGGGGAGTTCTTACCCCTTCATTCGACCATGTGGACCAGACACAATATTGTTCTCTAGAAATTCCCAGCATCAGTCAGTCAAGGCTGTAAAAATGTCTTGCAGGAAAAGTCAATGAAGTATTTCAGCAAAAAGATTTGTTAAACTTTCTTCTTTCCAGTTTGTTCTGCCTTCACATATGAAATTATTGTAGTGGCATTAGTTTGACATTAGGCAGCTATTTCAGGTTTTGGAATAAAGGTAACGTTTTATGAAGTCAGATCTGATCTACCGTATATACTCGTTCATAAGACGAATTTTTTTAGTAAAAAAGGGAAACACCAGAGAAGGGGGTCGGCTTATGAACAGGTATAGAGAGGGAGAGGTGGGATACAGCCCCTCCCCCCAAAAGAGGGAGCAAGGAGAGGCAGCACAGCCAGCAGAGCCAGAAGGGAAGAGGAGGGGCCAGAGTCTCTCCGCTTCTGGCCATGCTGTTCTCCCCCCAGCCTCCGAAGCAACTGCAGCTCCGGGGCTGGCAGGCTGCAGGCATGCCACTCGGTCCCGCCCCCCCGAGCAGGCAGTGGCCGCGCCACCTGGCCTGCCGGAGCATGCTGCAGCCGTGCTGCCTGGCCCAGCCCACTGGAACATGCTGCAGCCGCACCGCCTGGTCTAGCCCGCCGGAGCAGGCTGCGGACGCGCTGCCCAGCCTGCCGGAGCAGCTCCAGCCAGGCCAGAGACATCCTCCCCTGGCTCTCCCCAGATAAGGTGGAAAGGGATGGGATGGGGAGAGTGTAGGGGTCCCGGGCACAGGAGGGGTAGTGTGTGGGGGGGGGGTCCACAGGGGTTATTTCCCTGACTCCCAGCTTCTCCTCACCAAAAAATTTCCCCACCAGTCGCTGTCCTGTCCCGGCCCGTCAGGGTAAGCAGCTGGCATGCCAAGACACTTTGTTTACTTAGGTTTACCTCTGTGCCTGCGGACGCTCGAGGTAAACAAACCATCTCGGCCCACCAGCGACTTATCCTGATGGCCCAGGAGCCAAAGTTTGCTGACCCCTGAATTATAGGGTCGGCTTATGAATGGATTATAAAAAATTTCCATTTTTACATATCCATCTGGGGGGGGCGGCTTATAAACGAAGCGGCTTATGATCGAGTATATACGGCACTTTACTTTTTCTCGTTCCCCAGACACTAGTTTCCAGATGAGTAGATCTCTGCTGAACTTTAGGTGCTTTTGCTAAGGATGGTGATGCATGAAAACTTTGAATCCTAAAACACCCATAGACCTCAAGCATTCTATTGTAAAACTGAACTGTTCTCTTAAACTTTTCTCTTACACTAAAAAACCCCACTCAGGATGTTCCAACTGTACCAAGAGTCTTGCAAATGTTGGTGTTTTTCTTTAACCCCTACCCCTGAAGTCATGCAATTATATCAGAATTTTGGCTTTCATTTTTTAAAGAAATTCAACAATTCTGCAGCCTTCATGGTTGAGGAGAAAAGTTGGGAAATGTGAACCCTAAAAGCTCAAAAACCAGAAGACAATTGAAAGGACACTAAACTTTTTTTTCTTTAATCTCATGATTTTGGGAGCCTCATGATTTCTGACTCATGGGGTCAGAAGACAGTAGTACTAAGTGCTGTATGAACACATAGAAAAAGGCATTTGCTACATTGAATTTGTAATCAAACATCGGGCAGGAGTGTGGGAACTCAAAGGAACTTCATTTTTCTACTCATGGCAGCTTGAACATATTGAAGAAATATAGCGTAACTCTACTGAAAAATCAGTAGCCTTGAACAATGGAGTGGATATCAGAGATGAGCATTATAGACCAGAATAAATCCTTTCAACTGACTAATATTTCCTAGCCTCTTCTGTCAAGCCTTGGCCAGGCAAATCCTCAGCTGTACCAGTCACTGCCCTTCATTGGTTTCTCTAAACTTACAGCAAGACTGGAGCAGCTCAAGGAACAATGTAGGTTAGAGTGTCCCTGAATGAACAAGAGACAGGTAAAAAGCAA